TGAAATGTAATACTTACAGTGCTGGAAATAACACGTTGTGCAGGTCCTAGTGCCTCCAAGGCCTCAAAGATTTACCTGCAAACAGAATGACAATTTGGTAGCTAATACTTAATAATTATTTGTGGAAAGATTTCAGCAGTCGTCAAATGCCTTAAATGTCTTAAACTTCCCTGAGTCATTTTCCTTAATCATGGTTTTCTATGTAAAGGCTTTTTCCATGTTGTGGTAACAGCAAGTCACATTGTGTTACATCTGGTTTTGTGACTTGGTCACCCAGGATTCACATTACCTACGTATTGTTTGTGTTGTAGGTAGCAAATGCAGAATATATTTGGTTTGTAGGGGGTACTATGAGTGTTTGTCTAAAAGCTATTTCTTCTTTTTGAATTATTAATGCAGGAAAACTGAAAAAAGATTTATATTTTACTCAGAGACTCATCTCTGAGAGGTTCTGTGCTTTACAAGAAGGCTATTGGATTCTTTTCACAGTTCTCATCACCTTTGTTATGTTCCTGATGTGTTCTGGTACTGATACCTTGGAAGGGCTACCTAGAACAGAGGCTAGACAGAGTAGGTAATAAAGTAGGTATTTATTAAAGACCTTTAATAGACACACCTTAGGCAGCCCAAAAGCTTTCCAGAGGCTGCACCCAAGATACATGACAGTCACAAGTTTTTCAGACAGATAAAAGTTTGGTCTAATTGCATATTAGAGATTAATTTTTCAATTACAGCTTCAGGTAATTCCCCCAGTTTGCTCCTCCCCAAGTCACCTTTGTTTATACTTTTTGAGGCCTAAGGCTGTGATGATAACCATGGTTCTCAGGCCTGGGAGGATTGTTTTATCTGACCAAATGCAAAGAGAGCTAACTAACACACTATATGAAGTTCAGAGTTACACACTAATGCAGTACAGGATCTGAAAAATATAAAAGCCAAAACTTAAGGCATCAGTACTCCCTGTCAAACATCTTCCTCCTCCATCTTCAGGTTATTCCAGAGCAGCTAATGTTTATTTTCTTAAATGACTATATATTAATCTTTTCAAAGAATACCAATCTTTCCCAGGCTTCTAAAGGGGCCACAAGTGAACAATATGTGATTTTCCCCCTTCCAGCCTCCCTTTTGTAGCCCTTATATGAAGTATGTCCATTCTGCAGTGTGCAGCTGATGCAGTGCTGGCATCAGTCCTGTTTAAGGTTGTTATTGATGCTCTGGATGTGAGGATGGAGTGCACCCATTCTCTTCATGGACAATGCCAAGTTGGGTGGGAATGTTGATGTGCTGGAGGGCAGGAAGGCTCTGCAGAAGGGATCTGGGCAGGCTGGATCACTGGGTCAAGGCCAGTGGGGTGAGACTCAACAAGACCAAGAGCCTGTGCCCATATTTGGGTCACATTAATGCAGAGAAGCCAAGGAAAGCAGAACCTTGAGGGCAGCATGAGCCCGTGTGTGCCCAGGTGGCCAAGAAGGCCAATGGCATGATTGTGCATGCAGGTAGGTTCCTTGTCTGGAGCTTGGTGCTTTTAGTTCTCAGTGGCTTTCACTATACATCTCTGAGGATTGTACTGACATGTTTCACCTTTATAATCTTGCCTTTCTAAACTGTGAAGCTAAATTCTGATTGGAAACATCATACAGCTAGAGTTGAGGTAATGAGACCTGTTTCCTTTTCCCACACAGATTTTGTTACAGAATTCTGTAGTCAGGTCTCAGACAGAATTTAGACCTATAATCTAAGTACTGCCTAAGTACTGTCATTGGAACAGAAGAAATAGATGAAATTATTAACCATGGACTAGATCAGCACTGGCTGGAATGTATGGTGTTACCTGTGCTTGTGTAAGCAGAACATAAGAATAGTGCATTGTCTTTGTTTCACAGCTTGCTTTTTCAAAATAGGAACAGAATTATAATGTTGAGATATAAAAATATAATTCTTGGTGGCCTTTCATTTATATGCCACCTATGCTTAAAAATTTCAGTTAAAAACTTTTCTTGTTTAAGAAAATTGTCTATGTTTTCTGCTAGACTTTGTCTGAGGAGGAGCTCAAATGTATTCAGTGTAGTTGGTGAAGGAATTCTGTCTTTCAGTTTTGTACAAAGAACAGCATTCAAACTCACTTTTTATTGTAGTCACTGTGCGTGCTCTGTCTTCCAAAGCAAAATTTATACTTCTAACTAACTCAGGCACTCTCAGAAATTTTGCCCTTCTCTTAATGAAGAGCAAAAAACCCTTCTGATTATTGTACGATGGCCATTTCCAAACATCTGTTGGAGAACTACCTCTCATATTAACAATGCTAGAATTGTCAGAAATATTGCAGTTTTACCAAACCAGAATTATTGAAAAACAGTTTAAATATTTTACAGTTGTGCCTCATTACACAGTAATTGCATACTTAATAATACAAGATGTACACTTCTACTTTCAAAGCAAGTTAATTAATTTGGGTTCCGTATTTGTTTTTTTCCTTTTGAAAAATCTTTCTGAATGCTTCATAACTTGCATATGTTTATCTCATGCTATTGCTAACAGCCTTAAATCAGAAGGTTTTAACTTGGGAAATATTAGAGTACTACACACTTCATCAAAATGAGCTTTAAACAGCTCTGAGTGTGTTTCATTTTTCTTGGGACACTCCATGTTTATGTTTAATAGTGATGTGGACACTCAGAACAACAGCCACTGATGCCTTGAGAGGCTACCTGGAGCAGAAGCTAGACAGTGTAAAAGGAATAAAGTAGGTATTTATTAAAAAGGCCTTCAAATGATACACTTGGGCAGTGGAAGAGCCTGGCTGAGGCTACACCCAGGATGGACAATGGGTCACACATTTTCACACTTTTATAAGTTTTGGTCCATTTGGTCCATATTGGGGTTAATTGTCCCATTACACCTTCAGGTGATGCAGTCCCATCCTCCCAGACTGCTCTCCTCAATTCCCTGTTTGCACTTTTTGGGCCTGAAGCTGCAATGGTGTCCTTGGTTCTTGGGCTGGAAAAGAATTGTTGTGTCTAACTAAACTTTGAGGAGAACTTGCTAACACTTTATGTGAAGTTCAGAGTTATATACTAATACAGTACAGAATCTGGAAAATATGAAAGCTAAAACTTAAGGCATCAACACCACAAAAAAGGAAGGAAAAGAGAAGTCAAAATAATCACTTCTAGCCATTATTGTATAACATTTGCAGCTGTTACACCAAGAGAAACCAACATTCAGGGTGCAGTAAAATATTTTTATAAAGGTTTTCTTTTTTTTCCTCTTCATAAGCTAGAAATAATTTAATTTTTGGTTTAAAATAATTTGAAGTCATTGGGACTAATCAGTAATAACTGATCAAGCAGGTTTTCTTCACCAAAGGTAAATTGAAGTACTGAAATGGACCCCAAAGCTCTGTTGGTGGCCCTCTCAGAATCCAATTTAATCCAGATCAACTTTCTCATCATACACTGTGGTGTCACCTGGGTCTGCACATCAGCCTTCCTAACTAGCACATGCCTAAAAATGTGAGTTTTCCTTTCCCAGCCAAACACAATACAGAATTTCTCGTGTTTGTAACCTCTGTATTCATCACGCTCATGATGAAAGCTTGATTCTTTTGTGGGATTCTGTGTGCTTTAGCAGGCTTGTGAGTCTTTCTTAAAGTATTACCTACAGTAGTGTCAAGAAGTATTAAGACTTTTATTTTTCCATGTCCTGTGTTCTGGCCCAGCTGACCCAGCCTGCTGTGACTGCTGTTTGTTTGCCTGGGCCAAGTCAGATTTCTGTCCTTTTTGTCTGACATTGGGATTTGGAAAAAAATGCCTTTTGTTAACTGTAGGGCTGTGATGAAAATCTCACAAACTCCCACAGGCTTTCCCCTTTACTTCCACTGTGTTCCTGACCATTGTGTTTTATAGAGTTGCTGAGAATGCTGTGGCCATTTCTGGGACCCCAAATACAACTGGGATTTTTTTCCAAGGTATTTTCTGTTTCATGCCTTTAGGGACTGTGGTGTGAAGATCTAGCACAATTTATTTTGGGGAAGAGAGTATCAGCAGAGGCCAAACTGTTCTTTATTTTTGGTCTGCAATTGTATGGCCCAAATATATAATAGAGTTTGTCTTCTGCAGGCTTTTTGCAAAACTCTAATACAGATTGAAACTCTTTTCTGTCAATACTTCAGATGGGCAATAACAGCTAGCTGTGGTGACATGTCTAAATCTTTTTTCTCTGTAAATTAATGCCCATTTAACCATGTGCTGTGGTCAGATGTGGAGATAAGTTGTAGCAATAACAGTGTATGGGAATTTCAGATGCACAATTATTTCTTTATCTGTAGTATCTACCTCTTTGCAGAGAGGGAGAATATTACTCCAGGGAAACTCTTGATAATATTTGGGTAGCTAGTTGAGCATTTTTATTCTTTTTGTAGGTTGCTTTGTTTTGCTGTTTTTTTTCTTGTGAGGATGGAAGAGTTGGGAGAAACAGGGGTGGGAGGATGTTGGTTGTTTTGTTATGTCAATCAACAGTAACATCAAATATACACACTATTTTTTTTTAATTTTTGTGTTTGGGTTTTTTTTAGTCAAGTTTATTTTATTATTTTTTCCTGGTGGTACCCATGCTGATAACCTTTTGTTTAGGACAAAATACTTTTAAATTAATTTTTAATCTTTCTCAACCTAACATGTTTTCTTCAGCATGCACTTCAAAAAAAAGTTAGCTGACTCTCAAGAATCAAACCTAGTAAGTAAAAAGCACTAATATTGTTGATAAAGTCTGAAATGGAAACTGTCAAATGATTGAAATTTTATTTGCTTTTCCACTTATTTGTGACTTTGAATATAAATTAATTCTCCTAGCAACCTGGAAAGCTGGACATTTATGGGAAACAGGGCCTAAAAATCCTTATGTATTTTGGGTAGCCTTCCTGGCAATACTTCCCTGCTGAGATGGAAGTCAGAATTCTATTTTGCCAAGTATTGCTTATATTAACTTCTGTTTTTCTCTAGGGGAGTGGGAAGGTGCTTTTATGTCCTACTTCTTTGTTCACCGACTGATTCATGCAGGTAAGATCATCTCCCTCTTTTATGTGGTCATTCCTTCCTACCTGTAGCTTTACAAACACTTTTTCCTTTTGTTTCATGAATTACTTTGGAAACCTTTCTTGACCTGAAATTAACAGAGGCCTCATTGGTTATTCATCTTCTAATTATCATTTCCCTTGCTTCTTGGAAGCTTTATTGTTATTGCAATTTTATGGTGTTTTTTTTTTTTTTTTAATTTGTTTTTCCTATCCTAAATGTGTAGTATTGCTTTGACTCCTGCTTTTTGCCACTGGTCATCCTTTGTAGACTTATAGAAATTTTGGTTTTGTTTAATTATTACTATTGCAAACCTGATTTCACTCGGCTATGCCAAAACATTATTCTGGGGCTTCCAGCACAGGGGTTTTATATTATATCCATCCCAACAGTAGCTGAGTTTCTTACAAATAACTCCATTAAAAATTGTAAAATTGTAAGACAGGTTTCTATACTTACAGTATTTTTCATTTAGAAACTGTCTCTCACCTCTCCTTTTATATGGAATGCAGTTCAAATTTCCATAATACAGTTTCAATACAGCTTCTTCTAAAAGTTGACTGAAAACTACTAAAATCATCAAGAGCTTCAGAGTCAATTGTTGTCAGAAATAACACCACTCCTTTTTGTTGTCTGTTTTTAACCACTGCTTGAAGACAAAGAGAAAGGCAACATTTAAGTATTTTTCGGTTTCTTCCATGATTATGGAGAGTTTCAGTCCTACTGTTAAGTTTTAACTGCTTTATTTGTGGAGTTTCCTCTAGTTACTCCAACTGAGCAGTGTTTTTGTTCAGAAATCAGTGAAGAGAAATATAATAAGGCTGCTCCTACTATCCTTGTCTGCTTTCTAACTGGCCTTAGCATTGCTTAACACCTAGTGTCTTCCTATTTAAAGAACATACTTGAAGTTCCTTAAGCCAGGATCTAAATTTGTTATAAAATCCACCAAAGTTTTATTAACTATATCAAGGTGAGTAACAACAAGGCTCAATCTAAACTATGATATCTCATGGAATACCCCTTAGCCATGCCATGATTCTCTTCTTTTGTTAGGCCTAAACCACCCCCAAATATCATAGGGTACTAATTCTTCTTCATTTTTTTGGAAGAGCAATTTTTTTTCTTTTTGAAAGTTTAAAAAAATAGTTGAGATCCTTTTTCTGAAGAAACTTCACTTGAGAGTGATGCTGTGATATTATTTCTGGAGGGACTGTATATGTGGACAGAAAACCAACTTTTTCATTCAGTCCTGCAGCTTCTTTTGTCCCTACAGATTCATAGAAGGAGTCTGAAACCAGCAACCTGCAAAATCTTATCACTTCACACAGCCCAACCTAGTACAGGCAAAATGTATAATTAAATCAAAAATATTGTAAATTTTACCTAACTTTTCAGACTGTCCTGTAAAGTGAAAGACAGGAAAGGTGTCATTTGTCTTCAGAGAACTGATCATAACTTGAATAATAAAATTCAGATGTAGGAAAATGGCTATTATGTATGAATAATTGCAGTGAGTATTTCCCATTTTGCATATTTGATGCCATATCAAAATATATTGCAATGTAATCCACAGGATCAAATACAAAAATAATACTTTTAATTAGAAAAGAGCTTTTATTCCACTTGTAATAATGATTATCAAAAATATATCCTTAAAAAATCTGCACTTTATTCAATTAGAAAAGCTCAATTAATCAACAAGAACCAAATGAGTTCTGCTCAAACTAATGAAACATAACACCATTTACTCCCTTTATCCATTCATTCTTTTAAAGGTCAGTTTTGTGACTGTGCTGCTGTCAGGCTGTTTCAGTACTGAGGGTTTTTTGGAGGGATATTTTTTTTTTTAAGCCTTCCAGTCCCAGCATTTAGAATGAAGCTGCAGAAGGATTAGTCCATCTTGCAATTAGCTCATGTGCAGCCACCAGAGAGCCTGGTAATAACAGCTTCCGACAGGAATGGATGGTTATTGAAATAGAATTCTATCTCCTGTAGAAATAGTGGGGAATCGATAAATTATTATTCTATAAATTATTAAATCTATAGACATAAGATGACCATAAGTTCAGTTCCTTCTCATCAATTAATTAAATGAGGACATACACCCATTGTTAGCATCTGTCTATTAATTTAATAATTTATTGAATAATGGATGCTGCTAATACAAGGTTGAACATGACAATATCCATCTTCAGCGCTAGTCCAACATTAATGAGCTTGACACTGCATTAGCCTCCTCCATCTTTTTGGCAAATGTCTTTATTTAATATGGTCCAGCAGAATGTGTTGTCCAGATTTGTAACCTGGCAGGTCCTTAATTTCTGACAAATTTCTGTTCCACCAAAAATTTGGCTTCACAAAAGGCACCAGGTTTTTGAGCAGCGAGGGAGTGTAAAGCTCTAAAATGGTGCTGTGAAAATAAAGAGGAAAGGAACAAGACTGATGTGTTTAAATAGGACAGATGAGTAAAATGGCAGCCCTAATGACAAGAACTGACTAGCTTTTGGGAGAATCACTTGGTAGATCACGTACTCTTAAGCTTGATAGTAAATTTCAGATTTTTTCTTAACTTCATTCAAGATTAAAAGAGTTCTCATAAGCCGTCTTAATACCATCATCCCCTGTTTGAAGAGGATGGGATTCTCTCATTTTTTTTTCAAATTGTTGCAGTTTGAGCACAGTTCAACAGTAACACAACTGCTGCTGGATCTAACAGAAGGCATTGATGTTATTTTCAGTGCTCTGAGAGCAACATTTTCTGGTGAAGCTGGCTTCAAGGTAGGTGTGCTGATGTACTGATGTACATCATTAAAAGCTAAACCAAATCAAATGAACACTTGCATATCCCTGTGACCTCCTCAATTGTGTTGTACAGAGCTTCAACTGGCTCTTGCAGGCTATATTGATTATATATTATCACATACACCAAATGGTCTTTGAAAATCACATTAACTAGATAAATGGCCTAAATACATTTAATTGACTTCACATGCTTCTCTTCAATAAAATGGAGCGTCAGAAAACAACTTACATTTGAATTTATTTCTCTTATCTGCGATGATTAATCAAAAAATTGTTTTTACCACTAGATAATCACAGTTATATGGTCCTGGTGATATCAAATAGAAGATGATGTTCAGGAAAATTAACTGAATTCTAATTGGCTTGGACCTAAATGAATAAAATGGATAGAAAACATCAAGCATGAACTAACTGTATAATTATTTCAGATATAACAGGCCATATTTTTAGGTATTTGAATTTCCTTTGTAAAATGGACACTTGTAATGGCTGCAAAAGAAAAAGAAAGTGATTTAATCATACAGTCCTTGTTATTAAGACTTTATACTGTTACTTGTGCAAGGTATTTGCAATAATGAAAATATGTTACATTTCTTTAGTTAGATGATCTTTGATTCCAGGTCTGTGAGCAATAAAGTATTAAAGAATGCACATTTTATCCAACTAGGAAAACCTAAATATTTTATCATAAGAACAAGCTTTCAGATTTTTGGCAGATTCTTTATTATTTTGATATGGATAAATTGAAAAAAAAAAAAAAAAACAAAAAAAACCAAATGGTCATCCCCTCCCAAAAATGCATTGAAATTGTTAAAAGACTTATCTTGAGCAATGCCTTCAGATAATTTTTTTGACTCTTCTTGTACAGTGGTGCATTACCAAGTCTCAGATGGTTCCTGCAGATGTGACTAATGACATATTCATAATTTTGACAGAGCAGAAGCAGTGGCAACATCAGAATAAGTCTGGCCTTTTTTGGCTTCTTGTAAGGCAGACTCTTATTGAATACACTTGATAAAAGTTTTCCCTGTAATGGAATAAAATTTTGTACCCTAATTTGGACTTTCATAGGATGCTGGCACCTATGAAAAGACTTGTAAGAATTTCCGTGGGAAGAAGCTCCTGATGTGCAGCAGCAACATGTGAAGATGCCCCCCTTCCCTTAAAAAAATCCTATCCCCACTACAAATTCAATCCAGAAAACTGATATATTAAACTTATAACACTGTATGTCACAAAAGTGGATGAGACTTTTTTGTAGCATCATCAACAGTAGCTTCCATACAGACAGTATTTTCTAGATGTGGCAACAGATGGCTCCACTTACTAAAAGAATACGACCTTATTCATATTTACATTCTCTTAGTCTTTCCTTCAAGCCAAATTCACTTGCAACTCAGCCCACCAGGGAAATTAAAGCACAGCCTGAGACAGCAAGACTGGGGATTACAAGAAAGGCATACCTGCATTCATGAGAGGTCCTTGCCAGTTCCACCCCGTGCAGAAAACTGCTTTAATACCTCTGCTGCTGGTTAGCCCTCAGAAAAGAGTATTGAAGGAGTAATGAAGTGACACATGTGCTTTCTGCTGTCCTTTCAAAGAAGGATGAGTTTTATCTCCTTAGCAAATTGTCCTAAATATGTAACAGAAGCTTTACTTCTAAATCAAAGATAAAATATTTCACTGAAAAGGGATTCTCTTTACTACAGCATATGCATGTTAGAGCTCTAGAATGTATAGGATGTGCCATGTGAAATATCCATTAATCACATATATATACACACAGACATATTTTATTTATTTTTTTATTTCTGTGTAAAATAAGAAGGTACGGAGAGGAGGATGAAACAGGAATGCTGGAGTAATACCCAGCTATGTGTTACCCATGAAAGGATGAATAAGTAGTAACATTGTGATTTATTGGAATAATGGCACAGAAATTGACTTCCCCTGTCATAAAGTCGTGGACAAGCTCTTTTTCTCTCATGTTAATCATAAGTCACCATTTTGCTTTTATGCTTGGAAAGAAACACCTCAGAGTACCTCAGGCAGTAACCAGAGAAAGAATGGTTTTCATCCAAAGGTCAAGCCTTAATCTTACCGGAATTTCCATTTTTATACCATCTGGATGCAGGTAATACAGCACAGTATTTAGATCCAGATCACTGTTAATAGCTCTGGTGACAGAAACTCCCCTAAGGGTGAGAGCCTTTAACAAGGAAATGTCAGTGCCCCACTCAGACAGAAGCAATCTTCTGTGAGATCTAACAGTGATTTAAGTGACCACCATTGGGATGTCATGGTACAAGTGTGTGATGTATCATCAATACTGCAAACACAAATAAAATCTGTCAGGGAGAACTGGGAACTAGATAGAAAATACTGAGTTTCTCTAACTGCATTGACTAAAATGCTCTTGGTTAAAAGCCAGGAAATCTCACATAGTGCTTGGAAATAGGGCCCTTGGCTGCTGTTAGCCCAGTTGTATTTGGTCTGGATCTCAGACCCTTCCCTTCTTCCATGTCACTGATGGAGAAGATCAAGCAGGAAGTCTTGCTGTCCAAAATGCTGTCCAAATGGCCAGTGACATAGCTACAACACAGTGGATTTTGGACTGAAGTTATCCTATGCTTATTCTGTGTGATGGCATGGAAAACACTCAACATGACTTGGGATGTTGCTTGGCTGTCTAATGGATTCTTGCTGAGTGTCCTTGCCTTCTGCAATGAGGATGAAGTCATTCAGGAAAACACCTCTTCAACCTGCTCCCATCAGAGGCTCTGGAGTGCCCTGAGCCCTTCTTT